AGAGATATTTTCCTGACCTGAAAGCGAATTGGCCCTGGTTGCCGCGAGCTGATTATTAGAAGGACCGATCGTACATTTATATACACCCCACATACAACCACGGACACGCAGGCACGCACACCTACATACATTCCCACGTACAATTTTTTCAGCGTGGGGGGAGCTGAGATGATGGAAAGGATAAGAAAAGAGATGATTTTGATGGAAAGGGGGCTGCACAGCCCCACGGCTGGCAAAAGGCTGGCGAATCATCTGACCGAGGCGGCTGGCAACGCAGTCCTGGAGGCCCTGGAAAACTCGCCCCACGGCGGCCGGCTCAGCCCGAGACTAACTTCCGCTTCTCTGCACAGCTCCATCGGGGACCTGCCCGCCGCCAAAGGGAAATTCGAGATCGACGCTTTATTCAGCCTTCAGCACCAGAACAGCGAAAGCGCCGTAGCGGCAGAGCTGCCTTCCGCCGAAAGCCGGAAGAAAATTAACCATTACTCAGAAGTGGCTGCAGAGGCAGACATGAACAGCGACGTGGAGGTAGGCTGCTCCGCGCTCCGATCGCCGGGTAGCCTGTCCTCCTCCCTGAAGGAAAGCAATAACAAAGGTAACTCTCTTCCCTCGCGCTCCCCATCCCACCCCGAAGCCGGCTTTTAGCGGGGCGAGGCGTGGGCGGCGTGGGAATGGGGGGGAGAGAAATCCACGCATAGCAGGATCGAACCCTTATCCTGTTTTTTCTCTCTTTCTTTTACTTATCCCTTTCCCCTCCCCGTTAAGAGAAGACATCCCGTAAAACAAGGGTTTAAACACCAGGGCATTAATTCGGGGATCAACTGAAGGTGCTAAGTAGCCCCCCAGCATAGCATCCTTAAGGAATCCGAAGCAAAAGGTTACAGAGTTGCGTGGGTTGCGCACGCTACCCGCACTAAGCGAATCTCCGAGTGGCATTTATACTTTGGGTTCTTCTGTGTCGAAGTATGCAGGGCAGGAGTGAAAATGTACCTGCACTTATTACACGGCATATCCCCACGTCTGGGGATCTTTCCGGAGATCTGCTATGGGATTTTACAGGGCTGATCTAGAAATCTGAGGGGCGCTTATTTGCCGGCTATGTAACAATCCGCCCGCGATTTCGCAAGTGTAAACAAGTACTTTTTGCTGAATTTTTATGAAGGGTATTTAGAAAAGAGTGTGCATACTGATCAACTCCGAGATCGCAATTAGATCCTGTTGGTGTAATTGATATAACTCAGTTTATTCAGAGTGCAGGTAAGCGGTGTCCTTTAAGTAATTTATCTCCACATATGCCTGATTTTCTATTCTGGGTTTTCATTAAAAATGCAGCATTTTTTTAAAAATGTTTGCTCTCTACTATACTTTTTGCCTTCTCCCTCCCTCCTGTGCGACCTACTTAGCACTGTTAACTTTGACTAAGAATAATGCATCATAATGTCACAAACTCGTCTAACAACTTATTTTTTAAAGCTGGAAAACAACTCATTCTATCGGAGCCAAGTTGCACAATTAGAATCATCAGAGGCTGGGGGACTGTGAAACCTTTTAGGAAACACATTTGAACAGGGCATTCGTTTGCAATCCGAATTGGGCAAGCCGTTCCGTTTATCCTCCTTTTGTAAACCTCTTAAAAAAGTGAACGAAAAAGTAAAGGGGAAAAAAATCCCCAGTGATGGGCCCCAGCATAGATTAGCTGTAGGCGCCTTACAAAAGACGCCCCTAACTTTTCCCATCGAATATATATTTTAGGTAGAGTGGAATCTTTTTATCAATAGGTGGTTGTTGTTGTTTTTTTTGCTTTTAAAGGATGCTTAATTTTCTTGATGTCTTCTCACTTAACTGCAAACAAAAGATAAAAGGAGAAACTTTCTATTGATCCGATTAACGCTGGCGATTTGTGTCCCTGACAGACAACATTAATTATTGGGGAAGTGTGGATTGCAGGCAGGGGCTGAAATCCGCCTGGCAGCGCGTCTCCGGGACAATAAACACGGTCTTTTGTTACTTTTTGTCTGGAAGGCTATTCGGAGAGCGGTTCGACTCCGAGCACCACCAGCTCGTCCTCAGGATCCACACTGAACAACTTGCACAGCGGAAGCAACCTGAGCACTTCCAGCTCCGGGGCCGATCAAGTGAGGAGGTACCGCACCGCCTTCACCCGGGAGCAGATCGCCCGGCTGGAAAAGGAATTCTACCGCGAGAACTATGTCTCTCGGCCTAGACGGTGTGAGTTGGCCGCCGCGCTCAACCTTCCCGAGACTACCATAAAGGTATTGCCAAGGAAAGGGAGACTCATGAGAGTCAGGCCGGTCCTGGCGGGGAGGGTGGCTGGAGGCTCAGGACCCGATTTTGAGGGCTTGGTTTGTCATTTCCGTGTGTGTAGCTCCCCAAGCTGTAGTCCTGTTTTTAGCCGGGCTTGCCTGAGACTGAAAAATGTCCTCTTCTGCGCCCGCTTCCTCCGAAAGGAGGAAGGATTCTGATCAATATAAAAAGGAATCAGATAAATAAAAGGAAAGCAGCGGATTGCCTTGCTATTTTAAGAACCTTCCTCCTTCCACGGAATAGGCTTTCGGATTTTATTTTGTTCACCTTAGGCTATTTCTTTTCACATTTGTAGATACATACAAACACACAAAAAGAAAAAAAAAACGAGGGAAAAAAGCAAAAAAATAGAGTGAATGAAATATCAAGAATAAAAATAAAAGAAGCGACAGACGGATTGGATAATTAACCAAGTCGCTCTAGAACTGAATATACACATTTTGTCCCCCCCCCCCATTGGTGTATTTTTTGTTGTTGTTTTCTCTTCCCTTTAAGAGAACGAGTATGGCTAAGCCATCAGGCCTCTTGTAACTTTCTCAAAAAATGTAGATTGGCACTACAAATAAAAACAGTAGATAAAAATCAAAGGGAGCAGCAGCATCAGTCTTGTATTAAATGTGTCTTTGTGCTTTTAAACTTAAAGAACCGGAATCGTGCCTTCAGCTTAACTCTTCAGGAAGGCATTATGTCAATCATTTCCTAAATAATAATGGCAAAGGGGACTGAGATAAAATGACAGTAAAAATACCATCCATTTTCTTATAAAGCATTCCCCAGGTCAAATCCCCTTTTATTATTACTATTTTACAATTTCAACAGAAACTTAAGTCTTATAGCAGTTTTCACCTTCTGAAAATTTGGCACTGGGTGATAATGTCAGTTCTGCATATGCTTACCTGTCATGGACACGAACTAAGCTGAATTAATAATAATCGATTGGATTAGAGGTTGAAGGACCATTTAAGAATAAAACAGTAGAATTTCAGATAACTTTTAAGGTGGATTTTTGAGAATGTATGTATCACGGTTGTTCTTTCGCCACGCTAGGCCGGCAGTGATATTCAAATAAAATGTAAAAAGCTTTTTTCAAAGAGAGATGTATGTATTTTAACCTGAATCGGAATTAGAGAAGCCAAAATCATATAGAAGGATCCTGAGTTTATCCGGGATTAAAATGCAGGCAGCTTCTTTTCGATTTTGGTAAACACCAGCTGAGGAATTACTGCCTTCATGAAGCTATTTTAGGCAGAAGCGGAATTCCCGTCTTAGGGAGGACCGGATGCGAATTGGTGGCAGAGTTCGTCTGGCCAGCTACCCTAGATAGAAAACGGCAGCGTAGTGGTTAAGATAGTGCCCTAGAAACCAGGAGATTGTGAGTTCTAGTCCTGCCTTACACATGAAAGCCGGGCTGGGTGACCTTGGGCCAGTCACCCTGTCCCTCAACCCAACCCACCTCACAGGGTTGTCGTTGTGGGGAAAATAGGAGAAGGAAAGACTATTTTGTATATCCAGGCCTTGAGTTACTTATAAGCGAATCGTGGTCGGATAAAACTCTAATAAATGTTAAAAAAATAAAATAAAAACGCAGCTGACCTTACGGGGGAGGGCGAGCGGGGGGGGGGGAGCCGCCGTTGCTTTGGCTAGGTAGGCAGCCCTCCCCGCGCCTCGCTTCTCCCGCACTCTGACTCACTCCGCGACTCCGCTTCCTCCCCCTCCTCCTCCCCCTCCCCAGGTGTGGTTCCAGAACCGGCGCATGAAGGACAAGCGGCAGAGACTGGCCATGTCCTGGCCCCACCCGGCGGACCCCAGCTTCTACACCTACATGATGACCCACGCGGCAGCCACGGGGAGCCTGCCTTACCCTTTCCACTCCCACGTGCCCCTCCACTACTACCCGCACGTCGGGGTGACGGCGGCGGCGGCGGCCGCGGCCGCAGCCTCCGGAGCGGCCGCCTCGCCTTTCGCCACCTCCATCCGCCCGCTGGACACCTTCCGCGCCCTCTCGCACCCTTATTCCCGCCCGGAGCTGCTGTGCAGCTTCCGACACCCGGGCCTCTACCAGTCGCCCGCCGCCGCCGCCGCCGCGGGGCTCAACAGCAGCGCGGCGGCTTCGGCGGCGGCGGCGGCAGCGGCGGCAGCAGCGGCGGCGGCCGCCTCCTCGGCTCCGCCCACCGGCTCCGCCCCTTGCTCCTGTCTCAGTTGCCACAGCAGCCAATCGGCGGCGGCGGCGGCGGCGGCGGCCCTGGGCTCGCGCTCGTCCAGCTCGGATTTCCCCTGCAGCGCGGCCGGAGCCGCGGCGGCCGCTTCGCAGCGCTCGGAGAGCAGCTTCCTGCCTTACTCGGCGGCCGTGCTCAGCAAGACGGCCGTGCCCTCCCCGGACCAGCGGGAGGAGGCTCCCTTGACCAGATAACCGGCCTCCAGGGCGCTGTTGGGCCGGGGTGGCCCGGGGCAGGAGCGAACCGTTGGGGACGAGGTGGGACGGGAGGGCCGTAGCTGCAAGCTCTAGTTCTATCTAGCAGCAGGTTGTTTTTTTCCTAGCGCTGTTCTTAACGATTCGGGCTATTAGGGCTCCGGTTTAATATGGAATTCCCCAAAAGGAGTGGAAGCTGCTTCTGCTGCTGCTTCTGCGGTTGCTGTTGCAAAAGTTTAATGGATGGATGGATTTGGGCCCCGGTAGACCAAAAACTATAAGCCCCCCCCTCTTTCTCAGTGGAAGGACTGTGTGTGTAGAAAAAAAAAAGCAAAAAAAAAAAAAAAAAGCGATCCCTTCCAGACATTTACGGTATTTTCTTTTTCTGTTTAATCTTAGGGGAGCCTGGCTCTGCTCCCCCTGCTGACGGCAACGGGAACTGTTTGCATTTTTTTTTCTGAGTTCAGCTGCCTTTTGTGGTTTGTTTTGTTTACCTTATGGTTTTCCTCGTCCGAAACGTGGTTTTGGACGGCTTAATATTTCCACCCCCTGTCCCTTCGTGTCCTTTTTTCTTTCGTCCTGAAGCGAAACCAGCGGGATCTTTTCTAGGAATTTGGCTGAGGACGAAGCTTAACAGAAACACTGAAGGAAACGACCGCAGACACACCTGGGGGTTCAAGGAGTCGAGAGGGGCTGTTTTAGGGAATAGGAAAGTCCGATACTTACCGTCCTTTCTGATCTTTCCCCGAAGGCGGGCTGGTAATATATAGTCTTGCGCGGGCCTCCAAAAACGCTTCCCCAAAGAAAGCGAATGGGGAGGAGATGGCCTTGAACGGCTTGGTAAAAAGATTAGGTAGACTGGGACAAACGGAATGGTAGTTTAGAAAAGAGGAAACGCGGCTTGTTGCTTCCGAGTCTCTTACTCTGCATTTATCTGGGAAATACTTGAAACTTTCTTGGCATGTCTCCTACCCTGAAACGGATCTTCTACATAACTTTTTTAAAAAAAATGTTAAATTCTTCCCCTGTCCTCCCCAAAGGAGGAAAATAATCACGCTTGCTTTATTTAAGCCCCCCTTTCCCCCTCTCCCCCCCCCCGCGATCTGGGCTAACAGAGAGCCCAAATCCCCACAACTTTCCGTGAACTTGAGAGACGCATCAAAAAACCACCGGTGTTACTGCGGTGTCAATTTTGATGCTAATAATGTGCAGATTATGACGAAAATTGCCAATCATGTTCTCTGATGGACCCTCCTTTGAATGCAGAGTGGTGGGGGGAGTTTCCCGCACGGAGACCTGCTGTCAAGTACTAACAACCCGCTAAGGGAAGTCATTAGAAGAGACGGATAAGAGACTTGGTACATAAAACATTGTTCCTGGTGCAAAGGCGGTAGGTTATTTAATGTTAGATCTGTTACCTTGGAAGTGATTTTTTTTTGCACAAGAAAGCTACGGTTCTGATCATCTCAATTGCCAATTTTCATTTTGGGAACTTGGACGCCCTGGGTAGACTTTTCAGTTGATATTCCACCAATGTGAAAGAGCCTCATTAAATCAAACTTGGCTATATTTCCATAATGCTCCTGGCAGAGTCACTTTACTCTTCACATAATGAGATTTTTCTGAAGAGTTGAAGCTCTCACATAACTAGCTATTGCTTATTTAGGCCCCATGTGTAAGACGTGAGCACAGGCAGTGCAAGCCCATTCATTTCCCCTAATTTATATATATTTCAAATAAGTGTCCTGAAATTTGCTGTTTTCTAAGACACTGGACTTGCTGGGATTCTTTTTTCTTTTCTTTTTCTTTTACCAGCCCCGCATTTTGATAATGGACATTCAGGAAATTATTTTCCAGTCTGTACTGTTTTGTTCAGTGAACAAAAACTGTATTTTATTTTTTATCATTTTTATTAATGGGGGGGGGGAGTCAAAATATAGCAAAAGATTGCTGGTATGAAGATAGGAGAGGAAGGATTAAAAACAACGGAGGTTTCAAGAAAAGAAGAGTAGATTATGTTAACAAGAACATGAGATATATAGAGAACACTGAATTAAGGACCTAATCCTCAAATAATAAATATTTTTTTTAAATATACCAAGACAAGACTTCTTATGCATCAAAAGAAAAATACCAGCTATTGTCCACTGACTTTATATTTAACTTTTAAATTAATATATAATTTAATGCTAGCTAATTTTTAAAAAAATGTGGCATTCTTTTATCAACATTTACTTTTTTCAATTCTCTAAATATTTGGTAATGATGGCCCTTATTGGATATAGAGAGAACAATTTTGGCAATAATGTTTACATTTTTCCAAAATAGAAATAGATAAATAAATCTATATATCTTGGAAGTGGTTGATAGGTTTGCTGGTAAATAAGATTAAAAAAGAAACAAAATAATTTTATGTTAGGTCCAATGGATCTAGTTATTATGAAAAAAATTGTGAATAAGTCCTGTGCTTCAGATATTCACTGGCTGTATGAATTCACTGTAAAATATTTTACAAATGTGCAATAACAACAAAGCTTTGTATATTATGTTATTTATTGTGTTTGGTCATGTAAAATAAATGTTATTTAAATCAAAAGCAACCTGATTTATTTAAGTCTTCCTGATATTTGGTTTGTTTGCTGTTTTAATACAAATATATTTTAAAATGTTATTTGGGCTTATGACAGCTTCTTAAAATAACCACTTTTGCTGCTTTTTCATACACATATCAGAAGGATTAAGTCATACTAATTGGTTTTTTTTTACTGCAAATGCAGCGCATTACTCATGTTTATAGTAGACATGCATTTAAGTCCAAACATTGGTTTAAATAATTGCCTGGCCCAAAGATGAGTGTTTACAAACACTATGTGCATATTCTGTAGGAAAAGCAGTCAACAGACACTAAATTTACCTCACTTTCCATGTATTTTCCTGGTATTTTAAGTAAATATGGGTCACATCTTTTAGGACAAAGAAGTGCAGTTACTTTAATCTCCAAAGAGTACTATTTAACAAAAATAAAACCAGAGATAGTGCTGAAGATGTTTCCTTAGGACAAAATACAAGTTTTCCTTCCTTCCTTCCTTCCTTCCTTCCTTCCTCCCTCCATCCCTCCCTCCCTCCCTCCCTCCCTCCCTCCCTCCCATAAAATCGATATTTCAGTCAGAACATGTAAAAAGTCAATGAGGTGTATCAAACAGTCTATTTCTGTTCAATTAAAAACATTTTTTTTAAAAAAAAAATCCTTGCCAATGTCCCTTGCACAAAATTCACCTTTACCAACTGCTCACCGTGGCATTAATTACAACGACACGGAAGCTATTGGGAATACAGAAGCTGCTATCACAAACCATTTTGGCCTGTAATTTACCATTATTATTGCATTAGCTCTAAATGATACAAGCTGATACTGTCTTTAATTGCAGTTTGGTTAAGTATATACTGGAGTGTTCCCTAGGGTTCTTTGTTAGATAAGCCACACACGCCCCACTTTCTGTGTGTGTCTCTCTCTCCGTCCCCCCCTCCTCCAGCCTATTTCTTCCCTGTCCTCCCCCCTTCTCCTTTTGCTCCCAAAACACCCCCATTAAAGAAATACGATTATAGCAGCACATTTGGACTAGTGATGTATCACCCTGCTTTTCTGTGCTCTTTGCTAACGCGGGGGTTGTAACCCTTAAAAACAAAAGCATTGAGATAGATGGGAAAGCAAACAGAAAAAGACAGTGGCCCCCAAACCCTGTCCGAAATAACCACGTATTTTTCCCCCCTGATTGTTGTTGTCTCGAGGGTGCGAAGAATGAAAAAATAATTCATCATAAAATGCAAGAAGACTGTCTGTCATCACCCCTGAATTGTTTCTGACAAGAAAATAAATCTGTAGGTTGTTTAATATATTTTATATTTTCTTTATTTCGGCGCTAATAGAAAAACCAAATTAAATGTCCACCGGCGAGATAGAAATGCAAAGATCGATGATCCAGCCCCCCCTACTGTCCAATCGCCCCTATTTAATTGACTGTATTTTCTGGGTAATTGAACTGCTTGTTGTAAATTGAAGATTTTATAGAAACGACATGAAAACTACATTTACTGACACTCATCGCATCTTTGACATTGATTATCTGATCAACGCATGTCATGCTAACCTCCAATTCTTCATTACACACTGTTTATGAGCTGTTACAGAAGAACTTGCTTGTTCCAGGGTGATTGATTGCCTTATTAACGCGTGTTCTTGTAAGTGTGACCGAACTGATTACGATGCATATGTTTAGAATAATGTTTCATTTAGCTGACTGCGAATAATGCAGGGTGACAGCTGCTGCGGGAGGACAAAAACCCGAACTACAGGGAGCATTTGGGACCAAAAAGCCCAAGTTATTTAAGGTGGAACCAATCATCCAGAGGGAACCTCTGGAACGACTGAAGCGCTTGACAGGGGCTTCCTCGGCGGTGGACAGTCGTCCCCCCCCAATAAATATATCAGCGTGTGTTATGGGAAACAATAGTCAGATATGGAGGGGGTGGGCCAGGGACAAGTGGAACTGGGCTTTAAAGCAGAGCTTTTTTGTTGTTGTTTTCACTGTTCTGTGATGTGCCTTATTTACCAATAAATGTCCTCTCTGCTCCCACATATTGGCAGTTCCAAAACAAAACCTGAAGTCGATTTGGTATAGGTTTTCTTTAGGGAAGGGGGGGGGCATAGGAACCTAAAAAAAAAAGTCAAGTTATGAATAGCAGAACTAAGAGTAGTTTTGGTTGCTGGATCTGGCCAGGGAAGAAGGCTGGCAAGAGGCAAGCAGCTTTTTGCTGCCTGCCCTTGTCGCTTTCGAATTTGTGACCCCTTTTGATACACACCCTTAGTTCTGGGATCGGCAGAGTGTTTTTAAAGCCTCCATTGATGAAGACAGGAAGAAGCAATATACCTAGCTGGCTAAAGAAACACTTCCCTGTTCCATGATCTTTTCCTTCACTGAGCTTAAAGGTTGGCAAGGCAT